TCTCTTCTCTCTCTCTCTCTCTCTCTCTCTCTCTCTCTCTCTCTCTCTCTCTCTTTCGTCTAAAGCCGCGTATATTCCGAGATGCCATTGGCGCAACTCTGATAGTCCTAATCAGTTTTTCCTTCCGCTTTCCGCGAAAAAGAAAGATCACACGGTGTATGTTTTTTTGCTATAATTTACAAAACCCTCTGTATTAAAATATATATACTAAATTTATATTAAAAGTAAATTTTGATTACAACAAAAAAAACATTCTGAAAGTAAAATATTTTTAACTAATTCATGATGTCAGATTATATTAAACTATTATTGAGACTGTTAAAAAAAATGATAAAAAGATAAAAGAATTTACATCTGCATTATGAACTGAAATTATATCAAGTCGTTATTAAAGTAACAAATTATGATTGAATAGACTTTCGGAGATAAAACGACACCGTTAATAAATGATGATTCGATGATTTCTCACTCACAGAGAACGAATCGCGCCGAAATGGAGCGCTTAGCGTTCTCGAGGACTCTCGGTAAAGCTGATTGCCAAAAAGTCAATTAATCGAAAGCGGTGCCAGAAATACGGTGGTACTTCCGTTCTGTACGATTGAATTACGTCGCGTATTAAGAGAACAACGAGCGGAACGACGCGCACGTAAAAGAAATATATTCTCTAATTAAATACCAAAGGAAGAGAGAAAGAGAGAATCGTCCTTTTCGCTTCTGCCGCATTTGGAATGCATTATTTTCAATGGCTTGGCACGCTTTTCTAGTTATTACTAACACATGTATCGCATACAAAATACGCGTTCTCAATATTTTTGCCAAGTAGATTCCAATCTTTTTTACTTTTATTTATAGTCTCTCTAACAACTCTTTTATGTTTCTCACAATCGCGCTTGTTAAATTAAAAATAAAAAACCGAAATCATTTCTATCGCAAATCATCTTAATTTTCTTCACAAAATATTAAAACACAAATATAAAATTTGTCTTTATTTTGCTATTTAGAATTTACAAGAAATATATGGCAAATATTACGAACTCTTTCATGC